GAACCGATAACTGTGCATCGTAGCTTCTTGTGTGTGAGTGTGTATGATTTAAGGTTCTTGTTTTGGGATTTAACCCTAAACAGATAGTGTTTCGCGTTTACGGAGTTGCTTTACAGAATCTCAAGCCCCAAAGCATGCCCTTGGAAACAAAGCCCCTGTGACACCCTTACGAAGCCTGTGTAAAGTCTCGATCAAGCCCTAAAACAGTCCCTACTAAACAAGACGCCTGCGTCCAGCTAAACAGACAGACTGAAGGCTTAGCATGCAGATGCGAGCACAATTGCGCAAAAACATCAATTAGGAAGTAAGCCGGAGACCCCGCCTAAGCGCTTGTACAAGCCCTGATAACGCCCTATACCGAACATCTACAACCCCAAGGGTTGAACCGAGGACGCAGCGGAATCTGCAAAGCTGGGGTATCTGGGCTTTAGGGTTCAGTGTTTCGGATTCAGGCTAAAGTCTTGAGCCTCGGGCTTCGGACAGCCCGAAATTTCGAACAACAAGTAAGCCCGAAAGCCACAGCCAAGGGCCCTAGACAGGTTCGGTGCGTGCTCTCGGGTTGAGGAGTCCTGAGTGTTGAGGGTCTTTGAGATTTTAGGGTTCAGAGTAAGAGGTTCATCGGTTGAGGGCTTCAGGGAGATTCGAACTACGATCTGCTTTCGAAGCTTTGGGCCTTTAGTGCTTGGTGCAAAGCTTCTCAAGCCTTGGCCCCGCAGAGACAGCCCATAAATCAAGGGATACACCTTAGGTTTTAAGTCATACCTGAAAGGCCTTGTACGATATGAATGCGATGTCATAAATCAGTGCTGCTTTGTGCTCGCCGGGAGACACCTGAAACCCTGAGAGCAGCTCCATGGTCATCAGCAGCCTATAGGACCTTTTGCACAATCGGACACCCTAGACCCTCAACCCTAACTAACCCCAACACCCGGAACCTTGAATAGTCCCCGTTGTACTAATCCTCGCGACGGTAAAGCCCTTATAAGACCCATCATGGATCTGTTGTATTACATGATCCCTTGGAGATATATGTTACCAGAATACAAAACAAGTAATTCCTGCTGGGAGCCCCGAAGACACCTAAGAAACCTTTATTAAGTATATACCGACGGAGTACCTATTCCCAGCTATTCTGGCTGCTCTGTTCTGGCTTAAGAGTTTGACCTGAATCCACCCTCGGCCGTGAAGTTGCACCCTGCAAAGGACAGATCTTTACAATGCAAGCTGAATGCTGAACATCCATTCAAGCCAATCTTAAGCCCCACGCCGGGCCTTGTAACCTACCCTGAGCCTGAGCCGAAACGCTACACAAATCCCGGGCAAAATCCTACCGGATCCTGCGAAGACCCTAATTACAGTTCTTCCTGCATGGGGGTTGGTGTCGTGCACAATGGAATTCTGCTAAGGAGACTGTTTTCAACCCAAAATCATAATATCACGAAATTTGCCAGCCTCTCTGTTAAACAACTCCATGTCTTGGGCCGGTGCAAAATCTGTCTCCTCCTCGTAATCTGTCTCCTCCTCGTCAACTGCAACCTTCGCTGAGCTGCGTCTCTCCGCACCAAGCACGCACGGTGAAACACCCAAGCGAAAGTCTATGCAGGGAGGCTGAGATTGTGGGAGAGGGGTCGAAATGTGGCATCTTGCGGGGTTTCAGTGCAAATCTAAGCAAGGACCAACCTGGGGCTCTTGAGGTTCGAAGGTTAGGATTATCCTACCTGCCATCAAAAAGCTGCATGTAGCCTGTACACAAACATGGATGGTCCTTTGTGGATGTAGCAGCGCCCGCAATCCGCGGGCGATTTTTGAAGAAACTCACTCGACCGCTGTTGAAAGCTGGGTTGCTGGCGGCGCGGAACACTGCCTCGTCGGTGCCACTGCCCAGTGTCACTAGCGTGTCCTTCGAAGGGCGGTCTGTGCCATGACGAACATAACCGAGAATGCCAGATCCAATGCGAAGCCTGGCCTCGGGCTTCACCAGGCGCTCCCCCTGAAAAAATGCAGTCTCCTCTGCCGGAACTTGATGGCGGCGGCACCATTCCTGAACAAGAAGGCACGAAGCATGGTAAACGAGGGGCCAGGCCAGCTGTGCCTTCATCACCTTGCCCAGCGGAGTCGTCATGCGCCTGGCCAGAGACACCACGGCACGAAAGAATCTGAACCGCAACTGGCATGTAATACCAAACATGGCAGGCGTGCACGCTGAAGCACAGCTCGTTGACGCCGTCGGCACCCTCGGCCAACACCTTCACAGACACCTGCCCGCGCAGACCAGCGCCATAGCTAGGCAGCTAGCAGCTGGAAGAGGAGGCTGCAGAAAAGGCCTTTGCCGATGATTCCTGCCACTCGCTCAAGTTCCAAAGCTCCCTTATGCGAAACATCATCGATTTGGCTGGACATGGCCTCGGGCTCTGCCGCTGCTGCAGCCGGTGCCGCAGACTGAGCGGCAGCTAGAGAGGCGGCAGCTGCCTCTTCCCCAGGCAAAGCCACTGGTACCATCATATAATATATATATATATATACATATGTATATGTATGTATATGTGTATATAAACATATTATATACACATATATGCTCACACACACACACACACACACACACCCCCAAAAAAAAAACAATGAAAACTACCCCGGTAAACTTTTCAGGTCAATCCGACCTAGTCCTAAACCCAAGCCTGCAACACACTAGAGACTCGTTTCAGAAAGCTCGTGCCGCGAAGAAGGGAGGGAGGTTTCGACGCTAGATTCGCAAGATTCACAATCTGGAGCGCAACGATGCTTTTTAAGCAGGTGCAGAAACAGCATCCACTCTTGATTACACAATCCCAAAGTATCTACGATGTCAATCCTCGGCCATACAAGGCTCGCACTACAAAGCTGAGCTCTCGGGCCAAACTCCGAACATGAAACACTCCTGTGCCCTAAGGCCTGAATGCATGTGGTCAGATTTTCTCAATCGCAGTACTTCACCACACACCCGAACGAATGCCAAGTACAAACATTCGTCGGCTCAGTTTCTTATATGAACCGTTCTTCTGTTTCTATGCACAATTTCTATGTCGTCAGTCTCACACAGCCCCACTTTCAGGCCGTCTGCAACATGCAATACATAATTACAGGCTTGAGCGCTAATAAACAAAACATTCTCGCTTGTTTGGTTCTGACACTGGTGGGTAGTATGTGGGCGGATTTTCATAACCACAATGCTGTCCTGTCTCAATGCACAATTTCTATGAGATAAAGTCTCAAGCAACTCCACTTTCAGGTTTCTGCGCAACATGCAATACAGAACTACAGGCTTAGGCCTAATAAACAAAACATTCTCACCAGTAGGGTTCTGACACTGTCGGGTAGTATGCGGTCAGATTTTCCTAAACGCAGTCATTCAGTACACAACCCCAAGATGCCGAGCACACTTAGTCGTCGGCCCAGCATCTTGTATGCAACATTCCTCTGTTGCTATGTGCTTTTTGTGTGTGGGTAGTTTCACACAGCTGCACATATAGGCTTTCTAAAACATGCAACACACGAAAACGCGAAGTTACAAATCATTCCCTGCCGGCATGACGACGGCTACTACGACGGAAAGTTCTAAGAACGAAAGTATTGGGCGAACTACTGGCGCTTTCAGTGGCCACCGGCCAGTAGTTGTGTTTTAACTAGTTTCCAACTGCGAGCCCCGAACCGGCACTTGCAGAGCTGAGGAACCCACCACCCGACTCTTTGAAGCTGTGCAAATGTGGCCCCAACTTCGAATCCCCAACCCTTTTCTGAAGGGCTGTTTTCCCTCTCGCATGGCAGAAGAGTTTAGAGACTAGGGCTTAGGATGGCTTAGGCCCTTAAACTATCTTAAAACCCTGACGTGTGCTGACGGCGCCCTCCCGCGGCCTGCTTTGCCTTCACGGCCTGCCAGAGAAAGAAATCAAGTCTTCAACCCAACACACCAAACCTGACGCCTTGAACCTGAGACAAACTGGCCTTCAGGAGCCCTTGCAGCTTCTGCACCGGCTCCGCCAACGTCGGCGGAAGTAGGGAATTCGGCCGTGCGCATCATCACGCTGTGAGCTTCAGACCTGAACTGAGCTCCCGTCTCTATCGACGTGCTGGAGAAGCACGTCGAGAACGCTGACCGCGAAACACACGCTGTGCAGCGCCTTGTCAGAGGGAGGGTTCAGGATTCAAAAGCTGGCTCTCCAGCGAATCGGAAGGTTTAACGACCTCAGGCTGTTTTCAAGCTGAATTCAGGCCCAGATTACTCTTCACGGGGCGGCGCAGGATGTGTAAGCCGATGGAAGGCAGACGGCGAGGTCATTGACTCCAAACTCTAAACGCCGCCGGTTGAGGTTTGGGGAGAGGATGCGCTGACCACTAGC